GTTCCTTCTGTGGGAATTTATTAAGATAAATTTGTTTTCACTGAAACTATCTTTATGTCAACTTCATTTTTGAATGATGATTTTGCTGATTATAGCATTTAGCTTGACATTTTTTTTCCTCCAGACCTTAAAGATGTTAGTCTACTATCTTCTGGCTTGTATCATTTTTCTGAGAATGCTCTTGTAGATCTAATAGTTGTTTCTTTGAGGCAATATTTTCTATATTTTTGTATAAAATGTTTTTATACTTGGTTCTCCAATTTCACTATAATGTAACCAGTTGGAAATTTAGTTTTATTTGTTCTATTTGGAAATCATCATGATTCCTAAATCTGAGAACTTATGTCTTTCACAAATACCAGGAGGATCAAAACCATCCTGGTATTCTTCGAATATTGCTTCTCTCCTCATTGCCTCCTCTACCTTCAGACCTCTTATTAGACATGTATTAGGTTGGCCCATTCTCTCTTCTATGTCTCTCTATCTTATTTAATATTTCTCATATCCTTATCTGTCTGTGCTATATTCTGTGTAATTTAGTCAGTTCTGTCTTCCAGTTTACCATTCCTTCATTTTAATGATGGTATATTTTGTTTTAGACATTCTACTTGTTTCTTTCATAAATTTGTCCATTTCTTTCTACTAGCTTTTCTTTTTCTATTTTCGTTCTTTATCATGTATCCTTAATAATTGTAAACATACCTATTGCAAATATTTGTATTCATAATTCTAAATTCATAATTGCGAAGTCCCATAACTCTGGATCTAATTATGCCATTGTGGTATGGTGGTAAAAAAAACAAAACAAACAAACCCACCCTGATTATTTATAGGGTTTCCCAATGATTGTGGTGTAAATACTCCTTTATAGCAAATTTCAAGTTACCAATGTTTTAACAATTGGCTCTCAAAATTAATCTAAGTACTTAACAATAAGTTTTCGTAAGCCAGTATGAGCCAAATCCACCACTCTATTTATTATCTCTGCTACTTCTCACTCATTATGCCTTTTGTAATTTTGGATTATAAGCTCACGTTTGGCAGAGTTTAATTTTTTTGAACTCCTGTGTGGCTTTAATAGAGAGAGCTTTTCTCCAGAGAGAATTTTCATTCTATTCTTCAGGCACCTCAGGGATTTCATCCGTGAAGGACCACTTTTCCTGTTGAATTTTGCCTCTAAGTTTCCCATAGTTTGTGTGTAGAATAATTTCAAGTTACAAACCTGTGTGACGGAGGCCTATGATTAGGAAGGATCAGAGGAGACTTTTTTCTCATACTGAGCCAAGGATGAAACAGACATGCTTCCTTCTCACATCCCTTTGTCAGTGGATAGAAGTTTTCTTCATTTTGGACTTCTTGATATTTTACTGATTTTTTGAGGAGCTTAGATATGCATTTAAAAGGCTGTTAGTTATGTTTTATCCATCCTTTTTAGGTGTTCTAGAGAAGGTGGTGTATCTTATCTAATCTTCTATACTGCCAGTAAAGGAAGTTTATATAGAACTTTATGCCAATTTTAATCAAATATATTAACTCCACCTTAAAAGTTTAAATTTTATCAATAGATTAGAAAAAGATTTTTAAAACACCTCTGTAGGTGATGGTATAGTATTTAATAAGAGTAAAGGTGCAAAGTCAGAACAAGTGGAGTTAGATTTCAACTTCCCCACTAATAGCTGTGGGACGTCAGGCACACACCTTAACCTCTACACATCTCTATTTTCTTTTCTATTAAGACCACGTAATAAGAGTTATTATGGGGTAAACAGAATGATACATCTAAAGCATAGAGCATAGTGTCTGGCATATAAAAAGGTTTAGTCAGTGGTGGCTTAAAATATCTTATGTGTTGAAGCCATTTATGCAAACATTATGAGTGGCAAAATAAAGATTTAACTTTGATGTAAAACATATTCTTGTATCTTCTAAAAGTTTTTAATTATTTATTTGTAGGAACCTTTGAAAAATCAATGCAGATATCTTTGATCTGAAATTAATTTGTAGAATCATATCTAGTGCAGGTGCTCAATTAATTTAATAGTTATTAAATATTGTTATCATATATATTTATGTTCTTAAACTATACATTTCCCATGGAAACATAATCAGAAGGAAAATGTGTATATTTTCATATGGTAGAAAAATTTTCTAAATGATTGAAAACATTTCTCAGTTGAAGGTTTTTTTTTTCTTTAGAGGGGAATGTCCTATTTGTTTTGGCTTTTAGAAGTGCTTTGATAAGCTGTTTGGGGCCCCAGGAGCATGCTGATGTTACAAGAGATATTTGCTAATTTGATCTACCAAAGGCAAACAGGAAGATGTGTTGCTTAGGATGGGAAGGTAAAAGAAGTGAGCTGACAAAGGGAGATGAGACTGAGAAGCTTACTGTGTGTACTACTTTCTTGGCCTCCCAAATCTTCACTAAAATTCTATTAAAACATGGAAAATCTGTGGTATGAGCCCCTTGTCTCTCAAATCTGCATACAGTGCCATTGTCTTTAGGCATCTAATGAAACTGAAGAGAGATGTGAGACTAATTTTTATCATTTCTTGGTACAGAGTAAGCCCTCTCTGATCTGAAAATTTGTCTTCTAATATATTAGCTAAGTATTCTCTTAATGTTAACTTCAAAGATTTTTTCTGTTTCATGTTTTCCTCTCCTTTTTTATGATCCCCAGTAATAATCTATGTGTTGGCTTTCTGGTTTCTGTTTTCTATATCTGTTATCTTTACTCACTTTTACTCCTTTTATACTTCATTTTGTGATTTTTCTCAAAATCTCAAAGTCTAAACTTCATGTCACTGATTTAGTTTTTTACACTAGTGATGTGGATTAAGGCTGCTCCAGGTAGAGAAGCCCAAGGTGACCTGGCCTACATGCCGAACTATATGACCCGGTGGATTTTTATGGTATGAATTAGGGCTGCCCCAGGGAAAGAAGCCCAGGGCATCCTCACCTACATGCCGATCTATATGACCAGATTCGTATCTAAAGTTATATGACCACACAATAACCAGACCCCATCTGCACTGAAATCATTTAATGACTTTTTACATCATCTTTTCTTTTTCCAGTAAAAATAAGTCATGTACCCATGCCTTATAAATTTAGCCCTAACCTCAACTCAGGGCAGCAGCAGGAGCTCTGACTGCCCATGGGTCCTGTCCCCATGCGGCAGCCGCAACAGCTCTTCACTGCCCATGGGTCCTGTCCCCATGCCTGCTGCTCTTCACTGCCCATGGGTCCTGTCCTCATGCTATTCTGTACTATTCTCTAAACAAAAGAGCACCACTGCCAGACCTTGAGAGTCCAAGAAATCTTTCTTTCGACTCCTCGGCTCACTGACCCTGCATCACTATCAGTTCTCCTTTTTCATTCTTCTAATAAGGTTTTTAAATGTATAGTGGCTTTATTTCTTTATTTTCTTTCTCTGCCATCTCCCATTTTATCTTATTCCGTCTTGTGATTTATTTGATCTTTGATTTGACGTTGTGTTTCTCTTCCTGGATTTCTTGAAACTTAGATGCCACTTTATCTTTGAAATACAGTGAAATGATTGCTTAATAAGTCCATTTCATACAGTAATTCTTCCTCCAACTTGTATTCATGATTTTTGCTTTTACGTTCCCTTTTTATCATTCCTAAAAATATTTTTGCTTAAATTCCATAAATATGCCTACTAGTTACTATGCATTCAAGTCTGTATAATTCCATCTTGGGCTGTTATTGACTTAGTAATTGTTAAACGGTTCCCCTTGGCTTCCTTCCTGGTTTGATTATCCCCTTACAATTTGAGCTAAAAGACTTTGAGCTGGAAATCTCAGTGATTTGGTTTGGTATAGAAGAGAAGGAAAAAGCAATTGGAGACCTAAATGTAGCTATGGTAGAAACGTGTCAACAGCTGAAGTTTGCAGACATATGTGAACCCCAAACATTCTGCTATGAAATATGCTACCCCTTCTGCCCTAGATTGTGTCTTCCTGAAGGGAAATTCCACTTGGATTTTTTTTCCCATTCTTCAGAGAGTAGAAGTAATACAGCAGGAGCCAGATTATTGTTGGAGCCCTTGTAGCAAACAGCTTTTTTGTTGCTGTGCAGTTATTGATTTATTCAACAGAATTATTGAGTATTACTATATGTAAAGTGCTACGCTATTATCAAGGAGCTTATGTTTTAGTTGAAGACAGAGATAATAAACCAGATAATTACATAACATAAAATATTGTAGCCTGATAGAACATGATAAATACTAAGAAGAAAAATAAAACAGAAGCAGAATAGAAGGTGTTATGGGTTAGTTTATATTTATCTCTGTTCACTCAGATATGATCAGTAAGTCCAAAAGTAATTCCCACTTTTCCTGGATTGCCCCTCAACGTAAAAATCCTAGAAATTGTCTAGAAATACAAATGTGGCCTGACCAGCACAGGATATAGACTCTCTGCTCCCTTACTTTAGAAAAGAGGTTCTTAATTTTGGGTCCTTAGATCTCGTAATAGTCCATGTATTAATTTCAGGAAATTTGAAGGAATCTATGAGCCCACTGAAATTGTGTACAAGATTTTGTGGGGTTTGTGTATGTGTATACATATCTTTTAACAGAGTCTTAGAAGAATAAAACTCAAGAGAAGGCTGTGTTTTAATTAATGTAGTTAGTAGCATTAGCTTTTGGGAAGCAGTCCTGTCAGAATTTTGACCAGTGCTGAGCTTAGTCTCCGCTAAAAGCCATTTGCCTTTTCATACGTGTTGCTGTAAAGCTCCATAACCCCACATTGGATGCTAGTGTAATTACCCACACCCCACCAACCCACTGAATGCTGGTGTAATTAATTCTTTAATCCATGTCTCAGACCTAACATTTTTACTTACTCAATTTCATTTTCTTAGATTGTGCTAAAACCTATAATTCTGTGATTCTAAGACTTAGGAAAAATAATATGCCTCTGGAAGATTTAGTTGATATGTATTTACATGAACTTCTTTTCTTTCTTCTCTGTAGGTCGAAAGTTTAAAAAGTTCAATAAAGTGCGAGTTATGAGAGCACTAGATGCTGTCACTCTCCCACAGCCGGTGGGCATTCCAAATGAAAGCCAACCCCTATGCCAGAGAATCTCTTTTTCACCAAATCAGGATATACAGTTGATGCCCCCACTGATCAACCTGCTAATGAGCATTGAACCAGACATGATCTATGCAGGACATGACAACACCAAACCTGATACCTCCAGTTCTTTGTTGACATGTCTTAATCAACTAGCCGAGAGACAACTTCTTTCAGTAGTCAAGTGGTCTAAATCACTGCCAGGTAATAATAATTTGTATATAATAGCATGTAACAAAAATTTTACTGTTTGTTGTGCTAGTAGATTGTTAAATAAAATCAAACAGTCTGTGCAGTAAATTAACTATAGTTAATACAGCATGTTATAACAGCACGTTATAGTATATGTTTCAGTAGTTCAAAATATTTATCTAGGATCCTATATTATCTGCTGCTTTTCTAGGAACCTACTGTTTGCTAGGGAGATACAAAAGACGTAGTTAGCACATTGAGTGTTGTTGATGAATCAAGAATTACATGCATGAAACAGTTAAGGAACAGCATAAGTTTATTTGTTCAAGCATAGATGTCTAGTAGTTCAGAGAAAGACAAATTGACCATCTTAAACATATCTAGTTCATTCTAAACCCTAATTTGACCAAACTCAATTGGTTGAAATAAAACTGAATGTATATATTTATATAACAAATCAAAATAGTATTGAGTACAGCAGAGTATCTAAAGTCAATTAAGAAACAATATTCCTAAACATAAATAAATAATTTTGCAGAGAAATGAACTTCCAGTCGCTGTTTTCTCTAATTTATACCCCGACAAAGGGGGTAACAATGAGAATATGAATCATATCATCATGAAAGGATTTCAGTCAATTTATAAACTATTTCTGTTTCTATTTGTATTTACATTTATATAAATAACGTTCCATAGGAGCCAAGAGGTTGAAAGAAACAAGGATGCAGTTCCCACTTGGCTCAATGTTAGACTACAGAGCCAGGAGAATATATGAGTAGCAATTGCTTGTGGAGGTGTTAATCCCTTAGTTAGAAATAGAAACATTTTAAAATTATATTCTCTTCACACAAATAATATCCCTATACTCCTTTAGACCAAATCATTTTTCCAATACCTGATAAAGAGTTAAATATATTATGTCATTTTAGTCTCCAAGTAAATTCAGTAGCCTTTTGAAAAAATAATTCCTTCCCAATTTGCCTTAATGTATTTCTCAGTTATTATTCTCCCTGAAAGGATTGAAATACAATAGATGAATTGTTATTGAAAATTCAAAGTAACATGAAATAGAAAGAAAAATTGATTCTCGTTTGTTGAATCTTTTAAAAAATACATATTGAGAAAAGTTCATAAAATTAATTATTCTAATGGATGTAGACTAATTTTATAGAAAAATCAAAATGCCCAGGTTTTTATTAGCTTTAATCTTGCTGAAAGGCCTTGGACAGGTAATAATTTTTTCCATTAGAAAAGTTCTGAATGTTTAAAACTTACTGTAAAGTGGTTATCAAATGTGATAGATTTTTGTGACAATAGTATTGATGAACTTTTTCTATTTAAAAATATGAGTGTTTAAATGTGTGTTTAACTTTTCTCTGTTTTTCTGTTATTTGGAAGAAGTGATTTCTCTGATTTTTTTTTATATAGTCCATATTTCTTTTGTTTGCATTTTAGAGGTTCTTTACTGTTTAAAAAGATTCTACTATCAGCTAGCCAAAGTTAGACAATGACCAGTTATATTTTAAAAGATAATTTATTCACTTTGGATAAAAGTTAAGTGAGCTTTTTAAGTTGAAACACTTGTATTTGTCAAGATTTTTGACCCACGCACACCATCAAAAACAGTGAGAGGAAATTTTTACATTGAATTTGGTGGTAAATTTTTAATGTTGCAAAATGTAATTTATGTAAGTAAACAAGAATGATGGCATCACCAGTATTACACGTACTATTTCCATTAACTGTACAATAAGGGGAGCATTGAGATTATGAAAGTATTGTTTGGCCTGTGGTCTTTTAAAGCATATTTGCATAGTCTTCATTCTGAGATTAACTTGAATAAATGAATGAATGATGAAAATGGTCCATGAATCAGAGTGATTATATTGACCTCTGCAAAAGGACTCAGAGGGACATATGTATGATACAGTAATCTAGTATCATTAGCTAATCAAACCTTTCAGTTGACTTTAAACCAGAGAGTGGTTTTTATTCACTGATTCACTTGATAAATGTTTATTGCATACCTGCTGTGCGCAAGACCTAACAATTAAACAGTGGTGTTAGAAAGAGAAGCCAGAACGGTGGGCTCATGGTGTGAATGCATTTGGGTGCAGCACATCCTAGCATCTGGTCATCACTTTTGCACATACGAGAAATTTATTTTATCTATTCACTCACATGTTTGTGGTCTGTGAAAGATGGACTTTTGTTAAATGAGGCTTACTTATTACAGTGCAAAAAACAAAGATACTGCTAGGAAAATGTGTTGGCAGATCAAGTGATCCTTTCACAATAGGAAAGTATATTTAGGAAGTTAGATTAAGATTAGATGCAGAATGATAGTCATAACAAAGGTGACAGCATGCATGAGGGCCCCAAGGCATGTATTTGCAGGTGCCCAAGGAGATTCCTGTTGCCTGGTCAGAGCTTCCTCATTTCTTCTTTGTCTATGCTTTTCTATTATCTTGGACCTATTACAATAATTACAGCTTATCTGACATCTCTCCCATGATATTTCAGAGCTGTCTTTGTGTCTATTTAATGGAGACTTGCAAGATGCTTTAGCCTCCTGACAACACATTTAAATACAAATGACCTCTCAGGATACACTGCATCTGACATATTGCATCTATATATGAATGCTTTTACATTGACTTTTAGCTGTAACTTCAATGAGTAATATTTTCGTCTTTGGAACTTGAAGCAACACAATATTTGCAAAATTTTAAAAATGAACAGGACATATTCCCTCGTTGAGGAACATTCAATCTGATGTAATAGATAAGATACCCAAACAACTATAGTGGTATGTGAAAATGATGTAAGATGCAGATATAAAGAAAATGGGGACAGAAGAACATTTTTGGCTTCAGGAACTAGAAAAGGCTTCATTCAAAGTCTCAGTTAAACTGCACCTTGAAGGAGAAATGAGACTTTGATAAGTCCTGATAAGAAGAGGAAGCATTTCAGATAGGAGGAGGAGCATGGCTGATGGTGTAAAATAAGGAAAACATGAAGTATGTTTGGTGAATGATGGATTAGACCAGCCTAAGAATGGTTCTCAATCTTTTCAAAATGTCAGAGTCCTTTAGTAACATAAAAAATCTTATCATACCTTCCCCTCACAGCATAGTAAGATCAAGGAGGGTCTTGAAAGTCAGGGTAGGCTTTGGAAATAAGTAATAATAAGAATGAGTATTAAGTACTGATTCCCAATTTAATTTAATCTTTAAATATTTTCGTCTAGTATATCAATACATTGTAGCAGAAATAATGTGACAGAGAAGTTTGGGAGAAATATTTCCTTTTTATAAATTTTGTCTTGATTCTGCTATTTATTTGGTGAAATCTCTATTTAGTCAATGGTTTAACATTTTTAAACATGCATTTTTTAATACATTCCTTACTTCTTGGTCTCAGCTAGACAGAGTGATGGGGAATATTTTAGGCTGGTTACTTTTAAAACTGCAGATGAGAAGGAAGCTCTGTGGAGTGGAATTTCCTTCCCCTTTGATGAGAGACATTTGCATTTGTGAAGGAAGTCTCCATCTGTGGGGGTTGTCTCCCTCTCTGCACCAGGAGGAAGGCGGGATGGCCTTATCTCTGGAAACTCTTAATGGGGAAGGCAAGGACTTAAGTTGTTTACTGTCTGGCAACCTCATGTAACTGAACCCCCTCCCCCACAACATCCTCCTTTGTCTTTAGCTGAAGACAATATTTAAGAGGTGGCTTCTGCCATTTACTTAATCCGGTTTGATTCTTATCTAAAAGTTATAGGACCACCCAATAACCAGACCCTACCGGCACTGATATCATTTTAACAACTTTTTTACATATTCTTTCCTTTGTCTTGTAAAGAGATAACTCACATACCTATGCCTTAAATTTAGCCTTACTCTCCACCCATGCCAGCAGCAGCAGTGGCAGCAGCAGCTCCTCCTGCCCGTGGGTCCTGTCCCCACGCAGCAGCTCTGACTGCCCATGGGTCCTGTCCCCATGCTATTCCACACTATTCTCTAAATAAAAGAACACTACTGCCAGATCTTGAGAGTCCAAGAAATCTTTCTTTCGACTCCTCGGCTCACCAACCCGGCATCAAGACTACTTACAGTCATTAGCATCAGAAGACCGGACAGTCCTTTGCTTGTTTTCTGCCTGTGAAGCATGGCAAAATATCTTTTGAGTCAGTGACAGCCATTGCATATGTGACAAAAGATTTTTTTCTTTCTTCCCAAATCAAATGAATAAATCAAATTACTTCCCCCCAAAAAAGTGATGGGAAAGAAATGAGCCTACCAGGAGTAAAGTCAGGTTTGATAATACTTTTATGAAGACTTTCAAAAATGACTTTCCTAATATTCTACTCTACTGAAATTACTATTGCCAATGTCAACAAAATTTTTTACTTATCAAATCAAATGAATACTTTCATCCCTTAACATGTTTCACATGCCTCCGGGGCCATTGACAAAGTAACTATTTCTCACTGGAACTCTTCCTTTGGCATTCATCATTTCCCTTCCAGCTAGATATTTTTCTCTCAATTTATACATTTTCTCTTTCCTTTGTGGATTTGTTCTTTCACTTACACCATAAATTTGGCGTTCCCTGTGTTCTGTCTTGTACTCCAGTAGTTTCTCATGCCACAGTCTGGATGAGCTCATTCATACATAGCCTTGTGTTCAACTACCACTGTATTCTGATGACTCCTAAACACATAGTATCAACCCAGACCCTCTACCGAACTATTGGACCCAATATTTCAACTGTTTATTACACATTTCCACCTGGATGAACTCCCAAGTCAACATGACCTTCTACTCCATAAACCTAAAACCTTTTCCTGTATCTTGAATGGCACCTCGGACGGAATCTTGGGTATCATCCTTAGCTCACTTTTTTCCTTCACTTCCTGTCCAATTAGTTGTCAGATCCTGTCAACTCTACTAATTAAATATGTGATGCATTATACGCGCTGCTTTCACTGCTACTGCCCTTAGTTTAGGTCG